TCATACGTGACACTACTTCCGTCGAATGCTTTACAGTATTGGAGAGAACGCCCCGTATCAAACCACGCAGGGACTGTGGGACATGGACGTGCACCGGGATTCAGTACCGGTTTAAAACTGTGCCGCCGTACATAATCCAGTATTTTAACACACTTTCTTGGGTGATATCTTGGATACCCGGCGTCTGTACGAGTAGGCCTGAAAGCCATCGTACTAAAATCAAACGCTACCGGCTTACCAGTGAAAAAGTCTGTACCCAGTAATACAAAGTCAACCTTTGTATTCGGATCAATGAGTACGGCATGTTCATAACCGATACCGAACATTTCGATACGCACAATACCACACAATGGATCAATATCGGTAATATCGTTTGCCGCCGTGTTCAGTGTTACGTCTGACACATGAGCTGGGCATTTTAAAATGCTCACATTTAACTTTTCCGCTATATGCATAGGCATAATGGAGATACTAGCGCCAGTATCCACCAACGTTTTTACTTCATCATTGTCATTCATAGACAACAGTACATAAACAGCTTGTGCATCCAGAGTGGGCAATGCTATTTCAAACCCTTTTTCCATAGCATCTGGAAACTGTGACAGTTGTTGAATTCGCTCAACGGACAATGCATTCACTTGCACGTCCTTCCCAAGTTTGCAAACTTCCATTGCACGAGCTTCCGCTCTTCTGCTATTATGCCGGGCTAACACGTCCGCGGGCGGTTCACGTGTCGCCTCTTTGAATTTGCCTTTGAAAGTACAAAACTTTGCTGGGTGCAGCTCGTGGCACTTAAAGCAAATCAGCTGACCGGCATCATTTTTCCACTTGTTTAAGTCAATTTCAACGTTGCCGATCATGAACGGCCGTCGGCCGCTATTCTGAGTATTTTCCGTTATACTCTCTCCTTTCTCGTACGTACTTCCAGTTTGTTCGTACGAGTTCTGGCGGTAATTATTGTATCCGCCTCGGCCACCACGACCACGATTATTATTACCGCGGTATCCACCGCGTCCACGGTTGCCGTTATTACCGTAACTGTTGTTGTTTTGATTCCTGGTGTTATTGTATTCAGCTTGTTGCGACTTCAAGCTGTAAAACGTTTTCAGCTGAGTACACACTTCTTCAACTGTTTTTGGTTTGGACTCAGTTAACTTTTCAAACCAGCGCCATCTATGCGGTCTTAATCCTTGAATAAGGATTGACACACGCTCTTCTTCACTTGTTCCCAATGTGTTGAACCAGTTTAGGTAACCATCCACGTACGAGTTTACCGTATGCGCGTCAGTAAATACACGGGCATACATTGCCTGCCGTATTTCTGCGGGATCACTCTCGGAAGAGAAATGACTTAGAAGTACTCCCTTCCAGTACTTCCAGTCTTTATCTGGATTCTTCTTTTTGTGATCTGCGTACCACAAATACGCATCATCTTTCAGTGAGTTTGACAAAGCCTTATCAATTAGCTGTTTGTCATCCCAACCGTTCAAGTCTTGACAGCGCTCGCAGTCAAGTATAAACTTTTCCACTTTCCCGCTTTCTTGTGTACCCTTATAATTTTGCGGGTAATGGGTCTTTTCTTTTGTACTTTTACCACTTTTCTCAAATTTCTCCATTAACGCTATACTGCGCTCAATCAACTCGTCGGTACGAGTATTCACACGCGGTTGTTCGTTATCTTCGTACTGTGCATCTTCCCACTGCGCGTCTTCTGCTCTGCGCATATCGTCTTCGTACCCGTAATCATTATTACGTACGGGTACATAATCACGACTGCGGTGGGTTTCGTTAAACTCCACCCGATGGCTTATATGCGGCTGCGACTGTTGACCAGACGTCAGCTTCGGTGCTGCATCAAATGCCGCTTCCCGTTCAAAAGTACCAGTATGTACCCGGGATTCAACCTGACCACTGACAGTGCCTTTTGTTTTCAGAGTGTTTTCCCACTGCTGCAGCCTGGCCTCCCACTCGGCCAGCTGTTTTTCACGCGTTTTTGCTTTATCGAACTCATCTTCAATGCATATCCATTGACCTTGAAGGTCGTCACGTTCTTTTTTCAATTCTGTATCGACTCGAGATTCTTCTGCTTTTAATTTCACTTGCAGATCATCGCGTTCTCTCTGCGCACGTATAAGGTCACGTTGCAGTTTACCACTGTTGACCATTGAATCATGGCACTGCTTTTCGAGATTTTTATTCGTGTTTCGTACACGGTCCACTTCATCTTTGTTTTTGTCATTATGAACGCGCAAATCGAAAATCTCAGTATTCAATTTTTTGACATTTTCTTTGCACTCTTCGTCGTGCTTCTTCATCTTTTCTTCCAAATCATTTATTTTTTCATCTCGTTTCTTCACATCTTCTTTCAAGGCGTCGTTGTCATCACTTAGTGTATGACACCACGTGTTAGCCTTTACAAACTTCATGTGCATTTCTTCCGTTGCATTTAAACCGGCTTTGGCCATTTCTTTCATTTCGCCGAAATCTTTTTCATTTTCTATTCTGCCTTCCCATGCCTGAACAGTATTATCAAACTGTTCCTGATCTAAGGAAAACTGCCTCACTGCGGCATGTAACGGATGGATCACGTCCATCGTTTTATTCTGTTCGTCGCTCTGACCGGGAGCCACTGTACTACGCTGAAAGAACGGCTGTGCAGATAGTGGTTCAACCCCACCAGTTGGCACATCTTCATCAATGATACTCACATTCATATCTTTTTCGATATTGGTAGCAGCTGTGTTATCAACTTCCTGCTCCTTATTATGCTGTACAAAAGCAAAAGGGGAAACAACCTTTTCCACCGTTTCACCAGCATTTTCATACGCATCAGCAGCTGCTGTTTGAACAGCTTGCACTTGCGCATTAAACTTCTGCATAGCAGCTTTATAAGCTTCAACAGTAAACAGTTTCGTAATATTAGTCGGCAGCTCTCTGTGTTCTAACCACACTCGCCAACCTGTCGGTGGCTTTCCCATTTTGGCTTCATCGTTATCATAGGTAACGAAATCTTTGCCACATATTCCTGATTTTGGAATTGCAACATTCAGTTCGTTAAGGAATGCTTCGATTTTAACGCCAATCGGCACGATAAACTTATCCGGTATCAGCTCTGCTGCACCTTGCTTTACTGCTTGTCTTGTAAACTTCGGCTGCACTACAGGCTGTGACGCCGTGCTTTTCGAATTATCCATTCTTCAGCTTTTTCACTTTTTCACTTCAGTTCTTTGTTCAGCGCTCGTTGCACTGACTTCTTTTGTTTGAATCCGAGAACCGTCTTTTGTTCAACCCGGATACGTTAGCTACGCCTTTTGTTCTCCGTGTTCGTAACACTCACTTTTTACAGCTCAAGCACTGCTCTGGCTGTCCACGCTTTAGCTACGCTCAAGATTGTGTGCACACTAGTATGCTTCGGCACTGCTCTCAGCATACGTACTTCAGCTTTAGAATTCTGCTTTCGACTCTGTCTACTCGCAGTTTTGTTGCGCAACTTCCACTTCAGATTTCCAGGAACACGTCTGTTCGCTGGCTTAAGAATAATTCGGGAACATCAATCTCTGGCCAGGAGAATTGAGTCCCTACTTTAGTTAGACTTTACCCAGTTTAGTGCTCAGGATCGATATACAGGGTAACCCTGCATCGATCAGCTGGCAGGACAAACTGCACAGCGTCCAGACAGAGCAAAGCTCCCGGACAATTAGGTTTTCGTCGTGGGTCGCAGGCACAGGCAGAATTGGCTCACCACCAACCCACCTGTCGCCAGTACCCGGACTACTTAGTTAAGGCGTCCAGTCGGCAGTCACTGCCCGGACATCCGTCCAGTCGGTACCGAAGTACCCGGACTGAGCACCTGGGAATGTATAATTCACACACTTCACATATTACTTAGCTTGGCCTAGGAAAGGTTCGAACTGACGGTGGGCGCCATGACGGAGAGACGAGTACGATAGGGATAATACCGTAATATCAATCCTACCGACCTGACTCAACGACAGAGAATGAGCTGATAATCTCAATGTGACATAACTAAATAATATGCATACGCTACGACCTACGCGAAGCGAGAATCTGACTGCATTCCGACGATAGATTTTAATAGAAAAACTCCGACGCTGCCAAACTTCGAATGCGAACCAACTGATGCCAAAAATACTGCAACTCTCGGACTTATATAGGCGCGAAGCGCCTCCGGTTAGAAAAGCCAAAAGTATAACCCAAAACAAAAGAGAAACTGCGAGAAAGTACAAAAATATAGCCGTAAGTACGAGTACATATATCTAGAAGTACGTACATCGCTGCTACTGTACACCATATTCCGTCACATCTTACGAATACTTACCAAACGAGAAACTGGCAGATTTTGCCGACATCTTGCTTTGTTTTCATTAGCCCATTGGGGCCGGAAATGGTGGCTGCATGCTACGTTTTCTGCCTGACCTGGTTACAGTCGCATAGACAGTAGTGTTGGGTAGTTTACTAAGTAAATGGCCGTTATTTAATTTTATTTAGTAGCACAACACTAATAGACAGACAATGCGAACCAGCGCACACCACAAGTGCAACTTTTCAAAAAACTGTTGTTGTTGACATATTGCATTTTGGACATCTTGGCTATGACCGTGAAAAAGAACAGAAAAGCCTCTTTCAAATGATGAGCGAAAGTCTACAGGGAATCGAACAGTAAGTTTTATCAGGGATTAGCAAATGCGTTGACGATCGTTAAGAACATTGGAAAGGGACATAGCACAAGGAGTAGATAGAGCAACAGCGCAACGGGAGGCGATGTGCAAAAATTTCTGCTTACCGCACAATTTACCGCTTACCTGAATTGGACCAAACATTCAACAGCTGTCTAGTGTCTGTGTCCTGTGTGTGATCGTTACTGTTTTCCATTTTCATTTCAAGCCTTGTCAGTTTTATTTCGAGATTTTCAACAATTTTGGCAATAAGGTCCTTGTAACTAGTCGACAATAGCTCCTTATCTCCAGAATTTGTTTTTAATTAAATTTCATCATGTCGCGTAAATCTCTGGCGATCGCAAGCAATCCACAGCCGCGACGAGTAGGAATTGCTAATCGACTGCAGGGTTCGCTGCGCAGCGGCGAACTGAGCGATGTGAAGTTCACAGTTGGACGCGATCATGGCGAAGCGCGCACATTCTCCGCACACAAGTGCGTCCACTGCAACTATCAGCATTCAGATCTGCCGCCGTAACAAGTATTTGAAAACTTTTCCGAGGCATTTCGATTCTGCAGGTACATCTTGAGTCTGGGCAGCGACGTGTTCTACACGATGTTTCACGGCAGTCTGTCAGAGCGGAAAAAGATTATCGAGATTCCCGATGATCTGCCAGAAGCGTTTGAGGTTATGCTGAAGTGAGTTATGCAAATCTAACGTAGCAGTAAAACTTTTACTGATATAGCGTGTATAAACGCGGCGCTTGGATTATAAAAGTACTAAAAATAAGTATGGACTTATTATCCGTTACAGTTTTATGTACACTGACAAGGCGGATCTCACCGTGGAGAAAGTTTGGCCTGTGTTTCAGTGCGCGGATAAATACGATGTTCCGTTACTGGTGGAGATGTGCACCCAGTTCGTGTTGAAGCAAATCCGACCGGAGAATTGTCTGACATATTTGGAAAAGGTACATAGTTATTAAGTCATAACTCTGCGTTCAGTGATGATGTGGGTTATGTGCAGCATTCATTTTGGCCGACTAAAAGCCAGTGAACCTAGCTGAGGGACTTGTCCTTTTTTTTAGGCCGTAAAGTGGCATGCTGACGATATCGCAGAATTGTGCTTCAGTGTGGCGGACGCGTTCACCGTAGTCGCGTTCAAGTCCCAACAGTTCACTTCGATTAGCCAGGAGACGTTGCGGAAACTTTTGCAGCGGGATACGTTTCTCGTGTGCGAAAACACCATCTATACAGCTGTGGAAAGGTGAGAGAATTTCGTCTTTGGTTGATGTTGTAACACTCTGCTGCTCACGGGATTATCTGAGTAGAGCGCATCGAATGATGGAACTTTAAAACCAGAATGTTAAAATATTGTTGATTAAAGAAGGAAAACTGGCATTAATGATTACTGTAAACCGGAAAACTGTATGATTGTTATCCATACAAATCGATGACCTCTTCCAGTCAATTTTTTGTTGTTAATTGTTTTACCATTGCTCTCCTCCATGGCTACAGTTGGTGTGTGGAAGCTTGCAAGAGGACTAATCAGGATGCTTCAGCGGCCAATCGGCGTGCAGTACTGGGGGATGTGTTGTTCCTCGTCCGATTTCCGCTGCTCAGCCCTACGCAGCTAGCTAATGGCCCTTCCAAGGTGAGATAAGCACGAAGTGTATTTCTATTAGTTTTAAGCAAATTTATTGTGCAACGTAACGAAGCGAGCGTGTGTGTTGCCGCTGCTTGCAATTGTCGAATTTGTCATATTCTGGATAATGTTTACGAAACTTTAACAAGAGGGCTCGGGATTCTTCTTCAAGAAACTTCTATGACTTAAGCATGAATACATAATTATAAATTGTTCCGCAATATAGTTTCTAGACCGGCTTGCTGTCTGAACGGGAACTTGTAGATCTCTACTCTTATAAGCATGCCACACCAAAACCCACGAATCTGCCGTTTTCAACCGAGCTGCGAGCTAGGATGGCGCCATTCCGCGTCTGTGGCAGAGAATTCCAGCTTCAAGAACGTGTTTTTGTGGAACAGCTTCCGGAAGTCTCTTTCTGGGTGCCGGCGAAAGTAATCGGTATTCGACATTCCCAAGTGCTGGTGTCCATGCATGGGCTCTCGGATGCAGGAGGATTTCAGTTGGTAGAATCTGAGAAGCTGGTCCGTGCTGCCATCATCTTGATCAGCGGCCGGAACCTCGTGTGTCACTGTAGCGCCGGTCAGCATGCCGACGCCACTTACCAGTCACCAGGCCATGATTACGATCGCCACTGGATCAAGGCGCGTGGCCGACGAGAGGAGGTGTCGTTTAAGGATATTTTTGTCCGCCGCGATGCCGTGCCAAAATGGATGACGGAACCGGAGAGTAACGATGGTAGCAGCGAGGACGCGAGCGAAGACGAGATACCCCATCCCCCAGCCAGGAAACGTTCGCGGAAATAGGAAGCTGTAGATGGTACAGCGCTACAACCAGTTTTCAGTTTCGTGGATAACGTCCAAATGCGTTTGTTATTTTTGAAAACTTCCCCTTTTTGCTTTTTGGAAAGTTTGGTTTGTACAGTGTCAAATATGTGAAAATACGTGACCGTTTAAAATTACTTTCTTTTATGCAAAATTATAAGTACTACTCTGTAGCTCGAAGTGTTTTGTCTAATTATTAAGTGTATCGGTCTGGTGGATCCTCGCTACACGAATCGAATCGGAGTTTTTACAGTTGAACTGTCTGCACAATATACGAGCACCTGAGTTTGCGCGGCTTACATGCACAAGAGAATACGCGTTATAAACTTTTCCTGGTCTCTGAACCTACTGCGCATCGGACATAAAAAACTTGAGCCATAGATAGGGCGGTGACAGCCAGTGAAGATTGGAGAAAAGACTAGCAAGCTTTTTCTGGAACACAGAAATGTACAAATTTCTGTATCACTGAAGCGAGCAAAGCAGCACGGCCTTCTGTTCATACTTGAAAATCAGTTTCGCCAAACTCCGAAACTTCAAAATTAATTTGATTTCAACTTGAAATAGGCGGCTCTTCTTCCTGCTGACTGGGATACATTCAGGATATCTCCCACAGGCGACCCAGTGCACTCCGAGTCCGGCGCACTCGGTAGACTCGGTTGACTTTATATCCGGTTCATCATAAAGGTCTCCGTTGCGCTTTAATTCCAAAGCGATCGATCCGCCAGGTTTTTTGCCATAAACGGCATGCTTTAAGTGTAGACTCGGTTGAAAGTCACCGAATCAAAACGAGAATTGAATGCTCTAGTTGCTCTTAGGGTTGTGTAACTGTAGTCGCATCCATCGGGATTGATCATTTTTGGCCTTCATGGACAGAGTACTAGCTGCTACCCGTTGGATGTTAAGATTTTCGAACATCCGCCGTTTCCTGTTTCTCACCAGCTGTAGCCATTTGGCATCACACTGGCGAAGACTGTTCCTTAGTAAGAAACCTGACTTTATATCCGGTTCATCGTTCCGCATAATTGTTTAAGGATTTCATTTCCAGGTTTTGTTACGACAAACTTCGAGCTACCATGTCTGTTTATCGGGGGAAAAGGATCCCAGACGGTTTCGGTAGGGGGATTGTGCTGGCGGCAAAACGTCTGGAAGGTAGTTAGTGACTAGTTACTTGGTCCGGGACGACGGTGACCTTATGTTTTTCTAAAAGGAGGAATGCATGATCTCAGAACTGTATGCCTACTTAATCGGAGCGCGTGCGGTTTAAATTTCTCAGCGGACGGAAGTTGTTTTGACGGTAACCTTGTTGGAACGCTGGGCTGTTGGAGATCATGGGCGTACCGATCGCTAAGGAGTCAGCCGCGAAAGGGGCGGCGGTTTGCACAAAGAGTATTTCTTACCGCACTGTTCTCCGTTTACAGTGGCTTTGGGAGAGCAAGACTTACTCGACGTTTTCGGTTTTTTCAAAGCTCGCCAGTTTTTGCTTCTGGCTTTTCTGAACGTTTTGACTGTTTGGTCCATCCTGATCCAACTATTTGCCCACAGTTCTTTACCTCTGTAATTTTTTCATCCCACCATGTCGCGTAATTCTGCGGGTTTTGCCAGCGCAAACAATCCGCAGCCGCGGCGAGGTGAAGTGGCAGGCGTTGCCAATCGACTACAGGGTTCTCTGCGCAGCGGCGAACTGAGCGATGTAAAGTTCACAGTTGGACGCGATTATGGTGAAATGCGCACATTCTCCGCGCACAAGTACGTACGTCGACCGCAGACTATTCATATCTTTCAATATTTGTAATTTGCCGCCGTAATAAATGCTTGATTACTTGATGTACTTCGTCGATGCATTTCGACTTTGCAGGTACATCTTAAGCCTGAGCAGCGACGTGTTCTACACCATGTTCCACGGCAGTCTGCCGGTGCGAAAGAACACCATTGAGATACCCGACGATCTTCCTGAAGCTTTTGAGATTATGCTGAAGTAAGCTATGTACTGTGCATTACTGTCGTGTTCGTGAGTACGATTTACTTATTTGATTTCAAGCGCTCTAATCAACTGAGAGAATTAATGCACATACGGTCATGCACAAGTTTGAAACAACACACGTACACTACGTTTACAGTGTATCAATGACGTTCGTACATTAGCGCTGGGGAAGAATAATGATGTCGTTGATTCGTTACAGTTATGTGTACACGGATAAAGCTGATCTGACAGTGGAGAATGTTTGGCCCGTGCTGTCCTGCGCGGATAAATATGATCTTCCGTTACTGGCGGAGCTGTGCACCCGGTTCGTGTGGAAGCAAATCCGACCGGATAACTGCCTCACATATCTAGAAAAGGTATCCACTCAGGACCACTCCTGTACGCAGTGTTGATGTAGCCTCGATTCCTCATTTTGTCGGTACGACAGCACGACTCTTTAGAAAAGCGTCCGTACTGTTTTTCTGTAGGCCGTAAAGTGGTATGCTGACGATATCGCACAATTGTGCTTCAGTGTAGTTGACGCGTACACCCCAGACGCGTTTAATTCCGAGCAATTCACTTCGATTAGCCATGAGACGCTGCGGACACTTCTCCAGCGGGATACACTGCACGTGTGCGAAAACACAGTCTATACAGCAGTGGAGAGGTGAGCAGGCTCCAGTATTGATTGATGATGCTTAGGGAAATTATCTACCGAAGTGCAGGGCATCGTGGAAATGAAAACCTATGGTTCCGGAAGGCAAAACTGTTACATAAGACTATAAGGGAGGCGAAGTGTATGTTAGCTTAACGAATCCATAATATTACCTTTGCTCCGATCGACCCGTGCACGATTCGTTGCTGTGCGTACTTTTGCGTACTCTCATTTATGGCTGCAGATGGTGTGTGGAAGCTTGCAAGCGGACTAATCAGGATGCTTCGGCTGCCAATCGGCGTGCAGTACTGGGGGATGTGTTGTTTCTCGTCAGATTTCCGCTGATGAGTGCTATCCAGCTGGTCGAAGGCCCCGGCAGGGTATGATGAGCGCACAAAATACACAAATATAATGTTCAAGAGTAGCGCTAAACGTGACTAAGCTATATGTGCCGCAATAAGTTTTCCAGACTGATTTATTGTCTAAACGGGAGCAGTTAGACCTCCACGCGTTTATACTGGCCAAAACAAAGCCGGCAGACCTTTTCTACGAAGCTGCGTACTCATGTGACGTCGCCGTTCCGCATCCGTAAGAAAGAATTCATGGTCCGGGAAAATGTTTTCGTGGAACACGATCCGGGAAGTCCATGTTGGGTGCCGGCAAAAGTAATCGGCGTCCGAAATTCGAAAGTGCTTGTGTGTCTGTACGAGCTCTGTGATGGAGGTGGATTTCTCTTGCTGCAACCGGAGAAGCTCATGCGTGCTGCCATTTTCCTGACAAACGGTCGAAACCTCGTCTGCAACTGTGGTATCGGCTGGTTTGTCGACGCAATTTACCAAGCTCCGGCTTATGAATATGGATGTCATTGGGTTGAGGCGCGCGGTCGCAGAGAGGCGGTGGCGTTTAAGGACATTTTTGTTCGGCGCGATGATGTGCAGAAATGGATGACTGAACAGGAGAATAGCGGTGCGAATGAGGCAACCGATTTCCCAGCCAGGAAACGCTCGCGGGAATAGGCAGATATAGATGGCGTTCCCGCTGCAGCCAGTGTACACTGCAGTTAGAGTTTGATGTATTTTCAAAAAATGTTCAGCATTTTTGGAATCTATTCTGTACTTTTGAAGAACTGGTTTTATACAGTATTCGTATCGGCTATGTGAGCACATCTACCTATTCGCATAAATTTTCCGTTATTGCAGCTTCTACTGTTTTTATAGTTTCACATTAGCTCTAGATAATACTTAATTCTTGTTGTATAACTTCTGTTACAAATTAGCACGGACACGCAACACCTTTTGGAGGGGGTGATTCTATGTACTGCATGGATAAAGTGCACTGTATTATACCTTCCTATCTCTTTTATACATCAGTTGTATACGTTGTATATCACTCAACGTTACACCAGTTTCGCCTCGCTAGAAAACGGAAGTGGAACTAAAAGGAAAACAATGAATACCGGCTGATAAAAATGACTACTGGGCATGGCGTCGAGTGCTACTTGCTCGCCGCTATGTACGTGCAGCAGGACTGCCTGGCCCTGCGGATCCTGGCCGCTGTTGAACATTTGAGACATCCACAACGTCTGCCTGTGGGCGGGTGGGCACTATACACAATTTGCGGGGCTGCGCGAAGCCGCCCTGCGAGTAGGGAATAAAACGGCGAGTGCTGGTCAAACACCTTCCCACGCTCATACTGACGGACAACCTCCTGGAGTGCACCGCGCATATGACCTCATAAATGTTCTGAAGTACAAAATGGTGCAAGTCGCTTCCAAGAAGGATCCACACCTCGATGTACGAAGCGGGTTGAGTCAGTGCTATTGGTGGAACTGTATGCAGTTTTGAATACCGCAGTTCGCAGCATGGAGGAATACGACACTTGTAGCGTATGGAGTAACGTAGAGCTAATGGATCTTTAAAGGCTTCCTGTTACTTAAATTATGCCTTTACAAGCCACAAGCAGGCCAGCGAATTTGCCGCTTTTGACTGAGCGACGAGCTAATATAACGGCGCCACTGCGCCCCATCGTAAGGAATCCCGGCGTCGGGAGGCAGAATTTTGTGGAACAGGATCCTGAAGAGCCTTTCCGGGTACCGGCAATGGTGATCGGGGTTCGTAATTCCAAAGTGCTGGTGTCTCGGTATGGGCTCTCGGATGAAGGAGGCTTTCTGCTGGTTCAGCTTTGGAAGCTCATACGTGCTGCCGATTTCTTGACCCGCGGTCAGGACCCCGTGTGCCAAAGCAGTACCGCCGGATATGCCGATGCCATTTACCAGATCGTTTCTGTTCTGGTAAGTCCACAATCAAACGAATAATAGTCGTTTGAAAGTGGACTACTGGTCAAAGCGCGCAACCGCACTGAGGAGGTCGGTTTGCATAAAATGATTGCTTACCGCACATGCTACCGCTTACCTGAATTCGGGGAATTACTTTGAACAGGTGAGTCGAATTCGATGCTTTCAGTTTTCTTTCCAAAGCTTGCCAGTTTTATTCTGGGACTTTTGAAAAACTTTGACGATCTGGTGACTTACTGACTTTGGCCCACATATTTGCCAATAGTTCTTCATCTTAAGAAATTCGCACCACCATGTCGCGTAAATCTCTGGCGATGGAAAGTAATCCGCAGCCGCGGCGAGGCGCAGTGGCAGGCATTTCCAATCGGCTGCAGGGTTCGCTGCGCAATGGTGAAATGAGCGATATCAAGTTCGTAGTTGGACGAGATCATGGTGAAACCCGCACGTTCTCCGCGCACAAGTGAGTTCGTTGCAATCCCCTGAAGTGATTTCCTGTAGGTGCTCGAGCACGAAGGACTTCGGCAATGCTTTTTGACTTTACAGGTACATCTTGAGCCTGAGCAGTGACGTGTTCTTCACCATGTTCTATGGCAGCCTGCCAGAGCGAAAAAAGACCATTGACATCCCCGATGTTTTTCCCGAAGGCTTCGAGGTTATGCTGAGGTAAAAGCAGTACTGTATTTCGGTGAATTTCTTCCGCTGGCACTCAGCTGCACAGGCTTGCGTACGGGATACTGTTGTTGCAGTTACGTGTACTCTGACAGAGCGGATCTCACTTTGGAGAATGTCTGGCCCGTGTTGAACTGCGCGGATAAATACGATCTTCCGCTGCTGGTGGAGTTGTGCAACCAGTTCGTGGTCACCCAAATCCAACCGGACAACTGCCTGATTCATCTGGAAAATGTAAGTGGTACTTTGTGCGTACTGTTTGCGTATGGATTCTGTTCGCCTTCCTTTTGGTATGATAGTCAGATAGTACGACTCTCTATAGAGGAGTAGAAAATCGAAGCCTATTGGGAAGCCTAAAAAAGTACTATAGAGTGTAAACTATCTGTACAGATACTGAGATACATAAGCAAGTGATAAGCTAACGCACTAAAGTACGTTTTGTAGGCTGTGAAGTGGCACGCTGACGGTATCGAAGAATTGTGCTTCAGTGTATTGGGGGCCCACGCCGAAGCCGCGTTAAAATCCCAGCACTTCACTTCAATTAGCCGAGAGACGTTGCAGAAGCTTCTGCAGCGCGACACGTTCTATGTGGACGAAAACACAGTCTACACAGCCGTTGAAAGGTGAGTTTGTTGCATCCTTAATAATTGATGGTCTGTACGACGGTTAAAAATCGACCGGAGGAGAGCGAATTATTTGTGATCAGAAATTGGGTGTGACCGTGTGAGTGGAATAAAACATGAATAGCAAGAATGGTTGATAATATATAATATAGCCTGGGCTCTTGCCGATCTCGTACCACTACAAAAATTTAACCACTTCAAAAATTCATTTCATTTTTTGCTGTCTCCTTGTTTATTTCTGCATGGTATCGCTGGTTTGTTGGAACTATGTACAATCTCAGCTCGAATTTCCTGGACCACTGTAAGCATAAAATATGCGGGTTATTACAACATGAGGGAGATCGTCATATAGACAAGGTCGCCACCAGCTTTGCAGGTTTGACATAAAGAAAACTGCACAGGCAAAAATCTTGGGCAGATTCTGCAGTGGATCAAGTGTAGAGCAAACGAAATCTAATGTTTCGATGCGCTTTTTTTCGTGTCGTGCCTACATTGTCCAAACCTTTCGAGCCGGGCTCGTAGGAATCCGTATGGCCTACACTCCGGTCGGTCGATACACGAGTCAGTAATGTTATTTCTTACACCGTTCTTGTCATCTTTGGCTGCAGCTGGTGTGTGGAAGCTTGCAAGCGGAATAATTTGGATGATTCAGCGGCCAGTCGACGTGCAGTACTGGGAGAAATGCTGCACCTTATCCGATTTCCCTTGCTTACCCCGAGCCAGCTGGCTGACGGACCCGCCATGGTGAGATAATATTCAAAACAAACAAATTCAAAGGATGACGGCAAAGCGGTACTGCTACGAGTTATGTGAATTCTGGCAACATTTTCATTGGTTTGATTGACTCTGTTTTTGTCTCGGGTCATCCCTGCCCAGGTCACATTTTCTTCCTCCAAATTCACAAAATTTTCGTATTTTGGAAAAAAGGTAGTATACTACTGTAGTATGCGCAAAGAAATATATATTTTTAGCTGCCATCGTCAAGTGAGCGTGGCCAGGCAATTACTTATCAAAAGTTCGCGTAATATCACTGATATGCTGTGTAATGCTGTGCAGTACTTGTACAAGTTATTCGTACAATCGTACTTGACTGTCTACTGACACACCGTAGACTCGGGCAGCTGTTGAGTAGGGAATCAAAAGAAGCCCACGGCGCGGCTGCAGCAAAAAGTTAACAATAATGACGAATAACTTGTACTGTACCGCATACAGCATAACACAGTATTTCAGTGATAGTACGCAAACTTTAAAATGTTGCCTGGCCACGCCCCCTTGACGATGGCATATGAAAATATTTTCTTACGCATACCACTATAGTATACTACCTTTTTACAAAATATGAAAATTTTCTGAAGTTGGAGGGGGAAAATGTGGCCTGGTGAGTGAAGCCTGAAGGGTAACCAGTCATCTTCCATGTTATTGCTTACCCGCCTTACCGGCAGTGTTAGAATGGGTAGTGACTGGTTTCCCTTTAAGCAAGGAAAAACGCAACAATAGAAGCGAAAAAAACAACAAAAGATGAAATTTCAAAAAATAAAGAAATCAGCTGATTTGCAAATTGAAATATTGTCGCGTTTTTCGCCGCGGTATTTCTGCTCATACAGCATACTCGTACCAATTGTTCACTGCAATATATTATAATTATGCTAATATTTTTCTAGACTGGCTTGTTAACCGAACGTGAACTGGTAGAACTCTACGGATATCAGCTGGCTAAGAAGAAGCCCGCAAATTTACCATTTCCAACCGGACGACGAGCTTTTAAAGCTGAGCCATTCCGTCTCCGTCGTAAAGCATTCCAGCGTCGGGAAGGGGTTTTTGTGGAGCAGGATCCGACAGGGTCTTTCTGGGTACCGGCCAAGGTGATCGGTGTGAGTGATTCTCAGGTGCTTGTATCAATGCATGGGCTGTCGGATGAAGGAGGCTTTCGGTTAGTGCAACCCGGGAAGCTCGTGCGTGCTGGCGATTTCTTGAAAAGGGATCGAGACCTCGTGTGCCACTGTGGTACCGCCAGATATGTCGATGCCGTTTACCTGAGTCTATCTTATTCATTTGGAGCACGCCACTGCCTAAAAGCGCGCAACCGCATAGAGGAGGTGCCGTTTAAGGATATTTTTGTTAAGCGCGATGATGCGCGCAAATGGGTGGTTGAGCAGGAGAGTGGTGATATCAGCGACGCGGAGGAGCGCGATGGCCCTGCCAAGAAACGCTTGCGGGAATAGGCGGCTGTGAAATGTGAATGCCGCTCCGATGCTGTCAGTGTGCAGTTTTGTGTGCTGACAGAGCGCGTGCACCATTTCAACGGAATAGCTCCATTTCTTTATGTCTGCACGAGTGCAGTTGGTTTGTCTCTAATCAGCAAATGTATTTCCATATTTTCCAGTTTTCCGTTCATTTACGCTGTGCAGATAAAAATAATTTTCTTCTGGATGTACACTTTACGCAAGGTAATAATAAATTCTTGTACAGCAGATACATTATGAGTGACTGGCTGACTGTTTAGGCGAGGGTAGATTCGCAAAGAGACCGGTGACCTCTCTCAGCCGCCGTTTTGCGGCAACGTAGAAGATCGGTTGGTGGTATAGAAAACACTTCATGGTTCGACTGGTTGAGTCCAACAAAGATACGGTTTAAACCACCGGTTAAACGCAGTTCTCTTATGCATGACTCTCGCTTTTTATGTTTTTGTCTAAATCAATTAATACGTGACAGGGCATCCCCCGAAATATTGTGGACGGTGCCTTATGGGCACACATCAGTACTGGCATTTGAGTCTCGAAGAAAACTAACTGAATTGACTGGCGGCAGCGGTAAGGAAGGGCTCCGTGACATTTAAAAGCAGAGCAATACTGCTTTTGGATTTTTCGTGCTCACACAGCAAAAAATGCATCACAAGCAGAGATGTGCGATAACTTTGATTTACTCTTGACAACGCGCATCAGACAGCAGAGGAAAGCAGAAAAGGAAGAGGACGACCAGTCGATTATTGACGGAATGACGGTTGAACATCGTTTGTTGTACGTATCAAGACAGAAACTGTGTTCCTGGTGTAAAATTCATTAAAGCTTCCGAAATGTGAACCTAAAATGTGAAGCTATGTTATGAAACATTATCCAAAGCAGCAGACTGTTTATAAAAGAACAAGAATTTAGAAATATCACACAACAGGACAGCAGCCGGGTTGTTGTTATACACCTCCACACTAATTGGTATATATAAGAACATACAACCGGATCAATTTACCACAAACGAAAAACCAACCAAAAGGAATTAGTACTAAATTAGTCAAACACACGACAATGGTACGCCATGGCCCATTTCCGAAAACACGAGGAACCTGAAACCATTTCAAAGACAATTTCATAATCCTTTACGAGCATCCCTGACATCTAGACGCGCTCCGCATTCAGTCTAATCCGACAGGAAGGTCAGCAGTCATTTGGATTTGCAGTCTCAAGGAGAAGTCAGCAGGATTGATGTAGCCACTCTCCAGATCCAACAATTGCTGCAAAGACAAAATGATTACGTAAGCAAAACGTACCTTTTATGTGTTAAACTAATTTGCGATGTCTTGATGTATGCGCAACGAATCGAAACTTCATTTGTATGTACAAGAAGCAAGGTAGAACTAAGCAAGGTAAAATCGTAGTTAGGAGAGTCTAAGAAACATAAGATTGCAGAAAGAAACTAATATTATAAATCTAAGAACATTGACAAACAATAGAGCAGTTGATATCGCAGTTCATACGTACTGTCATGTTTTGCTTACTTTTAACTTTAAAGTGTATGGTGCCATATGTTGTTCCCCGATCCCAGCACCACCCCCCCAAGCGGCATGCTGGATGAGTGACTGCTGATCGTAAGTCGCACGACTTGCCTTCTGACTTTTTTCGCTGCTCTGTATTGATGGAATAAATGGAATTTATTGAAATCTAAAATTGCCGAAGTGCCTATGCAGAATGCGTTGACGATCCGTTCTTCCCCGTTGCGCCCGCCGCCCGGTACACTTGTGACTTGCTACACTGTTCCCTTTGTGTTTTTATGGAAATTTATTGATGTTTATTCTTCAGAAGGATAGGGGAAGTTTCTGCTGTGAAGAGTTTTTGTTTCTGTTAGTTTATTTGTCAGGAAATTCAGACACGTAGTGAGCAAAATATGTAAACTTAAACGTAAAAGTAAGCCAAGTGAGAGAAAAACTGAATTGAACTTCGTGCTGTACGAGTAATACCCGCGTACCCAAGGATTTTCTCGCAGAAACAATCTCACCTGCATAGAGATGAATGAGTATCCCCAACTGCTTTTACACGTATCCATGTCGAACAAGTGGGACAACTCTGCAAAATTTTAGAGCACTGGTGAGAATGTTCTGTTGCAGTAACCATACGGATACCCAAACGGCGGCAAACGCGTACTTCTCTTAATTGGCGCAGTTTTCGCGTTCCATGGCAGTAAGCGCAGTTCTGCATTAACCTGACACGTCCAGGGAGTCGATTTCGGATAGCTCCTGCAACGCAGGTAGAAGCCCAGCGCCGGAAACGGGCCATCAATGTCCTTTGTAACGCTGATACTCCTGCCAAACAAGGCATGTCAGTAATGGCAGCCTTCTAGCACTGTCTTTTCGTTTTGCGCCAGGGCGTGGCGTTTTACGCACCAAAGCAGCTTTCGGACGGTGATAGGATCGCTGATCGTAGCCGAGTCATACAGTTTTCGCACATCCGGAACCGTGAAATTAATGGTACCTTCAGCGCGTCCATCTACAAAGGTCACAGCCATACTTTTAAACATGAATGGAATTTTGAGGGAAATGCATGAACGCGCTAACTTTGACGGGGATCCGTAGGGAACGGCAGCTGCGGTTTAATGGTGGCGTGTTTGTAGCGGTAGATGTCCAGTACCTCCGATTGCAGCAACAAACCAGTCTAAGCAAGCCAAACCCGACATTACCCATTCATCTGCATAAAAATGCGAAATATACATTTAGTTGGGAAACAAATAGTTATGCGAACTACTATATTAGTCATTACCTTTTCGGGCCCATCCAGCAGCTGTGTATCCGTTAAAAGAGGAAAGCGAACGAGAAACAGTGTTTGCCCCAACATTTCGCGCCGATTTATGGAGGAAGCATCAATATTGTGTCGAGTGCAGTTTATTTCCGCCCACCTGCGAAGAAGAATCAATCACTAACCAGCAGAATTCATACAGCTCAAAATCTCACCGGTCGGAAATACATGATTAATTTAAGACTGTAAAAATGGTGATAAAACTGCCAAAATACCATGGCAAGATATCTTCGTTATTGGAGTTTTGGCTCCTATTTTATTAATGGAATTTTTTTTAGTAGGATAATAGTAAGAACAGTATTAACCTACTTGTCAGCCGACGAGCAAATGGTCTCTTCGTTGGCTGTCAAAGTGTCCCGCCGGAGAATGGACCGCAGTGCCTCTAAGCCGATGGCACAAAACTGATCCGACTGCCAAACAATCAACGCCGACTCATCAACAAGGCATAGACACTTCTCGAGGATGGTGGGCGGAGCATTCGCATACCGAACCGCCTTAAAACAATAACATTCCGGTCAGTATGTGGATTAGCGCCTTCTGCTGCATAATGGCCACCCACTCTGTCCAGAATATGCAGGCAGTTGTTGGTGTTGAGCATGTCCAGGATGAAGTCGGTGCACATGACAACCAGCAACGGCAGCTCGTACTTGTCAGCGCAGATTAGCGTGTCGAAGACGTTGTCCGGGGTGAAACCCGCCACCGTGTCGGTGTACATGAACCTGTATAGTTCATCCAGTTGTTACTCACAAGTTGGATATTCCCTGCAGAAAGTTGTAATGCAATACCGTGAAGACAGACATACCGCAGCATATTCGCGAAGGCTTCCGGATAAATGTCGGGAATGTCAATAGGAGCTGTGCAGGTTTGGGGAAGACTTCCGTAGAACATCCTATGGAACACTGCGCTACGGACGCCCATAATGAACCTGGATAACAAAATCACGAACTGCAAGGAAGCCAGACTTATCTGCCATTATTACCACTTTATCAAGCGTAGACTCAGGCATACTATTTCAACTGCCGTTGCAAGCACGTAAACTATGCATATGACCTCCTAATGCATATGATCGATTCTTTTCGGTTGTTCTAATTTTCCCGTAGAAACCGCTTGTGTATTCAGCTACATTTATATTTTACAAAAAAATTGCCAACGTGAAAATTTCAAATAAGAAGATCCAGAGACTTCCGACACTCAGAGCAGTTATAGCCGCCCACGGTGGCAGCGCAATCTGGTTTTGTTTTACTGTGCGAGTTTAGAGAAGGAACATTCCGCAATATTGAATATTCCGATCCGAAGAACTGGGAAGAAATTATAAGGAATCATATATTTTTTGAAAATTTAAGTTGTAAATTGTGCGGGTAAGTGGTAACTGCTCTGACCATGAGTCTAGACTGAATAAAAGTAAGCAACCCATCTGCCTTCACATCCAACGGCAAATGCTTATACTTATTATAATTTTTAAACAAACATCGACCGTAGAAAAGTGTTAGCGTTATGGATCAGGAATTATTACGGATGTTTCAACATGGAACAGCAAATCGCAGTCGCAGCAATGGAAAGCGAGCGCTCACCTGTGTGCAGGAAAAATTTTTGCGGCGCCATGCTCGTGTCCCACTGCGAACTGCACATCACTCATGTCATCACACAGCAAAAACTGTTTCACACAGTCCGCAAGCTTCTCCACCGCGGCGCGCCTTTCCGCGTCCGAGTGTCGTATGGAATTCTGAGACATGATTAGCAGCTACATCCACAGAATTCCAAAACCAGAAAAATAATCTTAGAAAACATCGAAAATGCCATGCGATAAATTGGATAAGAGCGCTTTCAAAAGCTTTCAAAAATTTAAAATGGTGTTTTGGTTTTTCAACTCAAACTGCGTTTGACGAAGCAAGCATGGCCAACCGCCGCTCGGAGGCGGACGGATATCACCACCGCGCCATCTGTTGACGGCGGTTATGAGTTATGAGAAACATATTTTTAGCGTTTTATGCACTGCTTCTGGGAATCCCTGCGACTCGCCTAGATTATTGATTTTTCCCAAGATGCCTGCCACTTATCACCTGTACTGTGGACGTCAGCTCTTCATCTCTCCCACCTTCCATTTGCACGTGCACTGAGCTGGCAGTCCCTGCTGATCAGTGCAGTTCGCCGTTGAAATCAGTATCTCCTTCCATCTGTTACAGTTCTTCTATCATGTCCCTTATCTTGGCATCCTCCTCCACCCAGGATCGTAAAGGATCCGATGTTCTGGACTGTATGAAACAGGCGTTGGCCAGCGGTGATCTGAGTGATGTACAGTTCGCTGTGGGACGATATTATGGATATGTCAAGATCTTTTACGCGCATAAGTACGCACAACGTTATACTGCTGCAATTTGGTTATCAACATTAATGGAAAATCTTTATGTTGGCCCGTTTTTTTGTAGGACCATCTTGGCTATGCGTAACGAAGTATTCCGTCGGATGTTCTTCGGAAGTCTACCGGAAAAATGCAAGGATGCCATCGATATTCCGGATATTCTACCGGAAGCTTTCAACAACATGCTCAAGTAAATATGCTAAATACGTACACATCAGTAGTCTGCGCTGCGATGTTTTAACACTAATTGAAAATTCTTCAAAATCACATGTTCAGACACTCAAGCTTATAAAGCATAAATCCGTAAAAATTAAGTTCACCACTACTCTAGTAACAATTTTAAAAAAATTGCTTAACCTTGAACTGCGAAGCGTTGATTTATTATTTTTAAATCCGATGATACAAAGTAATGTAACATCCACAAAAGGAACATGACAATACGAATTTAACAAACAGCGGAAACAGGCGGCCGAATTACAGAGAACATTTGATCTAAATTAGCCGTGGCTGGTGCCGTTCCCAGGATGGATGCCGCGTTTCCCCGTTGGACTTCGATGCTGAACCTCTGGCGCAGATATTCCGTTGCACGTACCTCGCCTGTTTCCTGACGAATCATCTTGCCCACTTCAGTGATTAGCTGGGATGCTCCCGGTCCGAGTGGTCCCAATGTCCTCAACGCCCACCGCACGGAACAGGTAGTCCTGCGTGATGTTCTGGTACTTCCCAATTTTCTTCCGTTCGGCCTGAGCCGCTGCTGCGCCGGCTTGCGTGGATGTTGCTGCGATATGTGATAAGGCCATCGTGCACACACATGTCACATCCCATGTTAACATCTTGCCTCGTTCCCATGGCACTAAGGTGACTCCGTCTGGGCGTTTGCCGTTGGTTCGCGATATACCCAAAGGCTCGAGTTCAGTCTCAATGGTGGCTGAGGCGAAGGCTCGTTTGAGCGTGGCGTTTAAGCTGCTGTGTCGTGACTTCCGGCCCCGACTTTTCTTACAGCTCAAGCCGTGGTAGCCTCGTGCGTCCACCCATTCACTGCAAATGCATTGGTGCGGAGTAACGATCGGTGTTCCAAGACGCAGGCCAACAGCGATTCTTAATGCAGAGTCGTTTAGGAGATTTCCCAGTGATGCAGCTGGAAGTGCATCCAGCCATGCTCCGTTGTCCTTGGTGCTAACACCCAGAAGCCGTGCTTGGCTAGAAATGTCGGACTGGGCCATTTCAGAAAGCATTTTCACGGAAGTTTGGATGACTGGTTCATCCCACATTTTCTGAAATTTTCGGGCTTCCACAGCTGGAAGATCAGCTTCCGTTACACGCTGCCACTCAGCTTCGGCGGTGCCGCAGTACACTTCCGGGTCAAAGTCGGTTATTTCGGTTGCCAGTCGGGTCACGTTGATTAAATCAATTAAAGAGCGTTGATTAAAGATTAAATAGCGTTGATTAAACAACTGAACTGCAAAGTCTAGAAGCTGGCGCAGGGAATTTGGGTAATGGATACCAAGATAGTACGTTACATACATATTTTGTTTTTATTGGGGCACTGTACACGTAATTAATAATTATAGCGATTTAATATTCTAATATTGTAGTAAATCGTTTCAGGTAATATATGCACAGAGGTATTTTAAGGTCTCTGTAGGTATTTTAACGCTGAGTTAATGCCATTTAAGTTGGCTTGAAATTCAATAAACAAATGCACGCAATATTGAAAATTAATCAAGCTGTGTTAATTGTACAGTCTAGTGTATACTGGCGCTGTGGAGGATCTCTCAGATGACAACGTCTTTCCCACCATTAACTGCGCGGATAAATACGATTTCCCGTTATTGACGGAGATGTGCTCGGAATTCATTATGAGCCAGCTGAATGCCGATAACTTTCTCATGAATCTGGAGGATGTACGTGTTCCTTGGTTTACAATAAGGATGGCCGCTCATTAGGCTCATTAAAGCGCACACCATTACCAGTCCGTGGAATGTGCTGTACGCGTGGCTTTTCTTTGCTACAGGCGATTCACTGGGGCGCGAAGGGCATCGCGGAGAAATGCCTGGAGCTGCTGGATGTGTCCAGTGACGACTGTGAGACCATCTTCCGCTCCGAGCGGTTCGCCAGCGTCGGCCAGATGACGCTGCGCAAGATCCTGCAGCGGGATACGTTGTCAGTGGACGAGAATCTCGTCTATTCTGCCGCAGAAAGGTGCGTACAGTGGATTTAAACAATATATTTATAATAATTATTAAATTCGGCGGCACTAATAAATACGTTTTACGAATAAAATATATATTTTACGTATATTTATAGTAATAAAATAAATCTGGTTGCATTTATCAATAGTACAATAACAGTTGAATAACCTAGAGTACTCTTATACAAGAGTATGACTATGTACTACGTGTACAAGGTACGGATGATTAAATCCATGTAGGAGTCTTTGAGTACATAAAAATCTGACTGCATATAGAAATTTATTGTACGAACAAAAATTGATATACAGATCAGTGAATTTTCTTAACAGTACTTCTGTAGACGTTAACATGTCTGCAACATGGCGTAAAGTAATGCAGAAGAAATCTTTTACTGCGCGATATTTTGTTTTAGCAAGTAATGGGTATAAAATCATGCGATTATTGTTTTCATGTACGCGAGTCAATTTTGCATTAATTATAACGTGCGTATCGGTCGTGCCATAGGAAAACGACGATGTCTTAATCAATCGATCGATACCAAGGCATTAAGTAGGCTTTTGGTTTTGTGTGCTTTTATGGGTTAATTTCTGTACGTTGGGAAATTGTAGATGGGCTGTCGAGTCCTGCAAGCGGAACAATGTACCTGCATCTCCGGTTAACCGGCGCCGGATGCTCGGCGCCGCGTTATTCCTCATACGATTTCCCTTACTCAGCGAGGCTGAATTGGCGGATGGCCCTGTGAAGGTAAGCATTTGCATTGAGTACCTACCAAAACATTTGCCTACCAAAATTACATTTGCCTACCAAAACATTTGCCTACTTACATTTGCCTACCAAAATTAATGTTTCAAAGCGACGCATAAAAAATATCTCGTGGTGATTTGATGATATTTCCTTATGTGTTTCCATTGTTACCCCTCGAATAATATAGGACCATTCGCAAAAATTTTAATGTTTCTATATTTAGAAATTTTATAATGTACGTATTTTTCATTTGTTTATTTCAATTTTCTGATACACGTTTCATGGATAAGTTATAATTAGCAATTAACGCGGAAGGTCAGAGCGTAAAGGGTATTTGTTCTACGTTTATTAAGCTTATACTGCAGTTTCATAATATTGTCTTATTTTCTTTGTATACCGCTGTTAAATTACTTTTTGTATTTATAAATTCAAAAATCTGGAGGTGCATTGGCTGGCGGGGTAGTGGAAGTAGCCATTTTGATTGTAGTTTATGATTGTGAATATGAGATACTCTAGGTACCTTTGTTTTATCCAAAAATCGTTAATTAATTAAGCATCTTTTAACAATGTGCTGGCCCTCCTGTTGAGTACTGTATATTACGTTAAGCAAAGCAAGCAGTTTTTTTTCTTGCATCTCTAAAGCACTTACCATTAGATTTGTCCATGGCTGAAATAAGTTTTAAAAACTTATTTATTGTACTGGGAAACTTTTGTTTTTACGTTAACGTATTGTGATTTTTCCTGGTGTGCATGATTCCACTATGACATGTATGCCCTTTACTGAGTTTGTGTGGCTGTTTTATATCCGCTGATTTTATTTTAATTTGTACCCGCGTTTTATATATGCAAGTACAGATATCTACGTACAAGACGTGTTAAATTATTAAGGAAAACAAAAAATTCGAAGAATAAGCGCATCATTATGCACGTACACGTGTACATGTTCTTGATAATGAGTAATTTTATTTTATTTTTAATATTTGTACGATTCTTTTTAGTCAGAGTGAACAGCTTTTCCAGTGATGTAGCAGCTTTTCACTTTTTTTATAAATTTTTATTATTTTTACAGAGCGGATTACTGCTGTCGACGGAACTGCACGAAATCCTCATGCACAAACACGGCACCGCCCAGCCCTGCCTCCCCTTCTCCTCCGAACCCCGCCAACCGCGGGCCTTCCGCATCGGGCAAGTGGAGTTCAAGCGCAACGAAGAGGTCTTCGCCGTCCTGGTCCGCGGCAGCAGCTTCTGGTTCCCGGCGCAAGTCATCGGGCGCAACCAATCACAGGTGCTCGTCTCCATGTGCGTGTCGCCGCGGCAGCGCGAACGCGTGGCCATGAGCCTGGAAAAGGTTATCCCGGCGGCGGACGTGTTGACGCGGGGGCGCAGCATCGTCACCGACTACGGGATTAAGGCCGTGTACATGGCCCCGCGGGACAACCTGCACATCCTCAGTGATGAGGGCCATGAATGGGCCGTGCCCTTTAAGGATATCCGTCTGTTCACCGATGACGTGCAGGCCTGGAAGGAGGCCAAGAAGCGCATTGCGGGGCAGAGACCGAGTGTCCGCCGGGCTAATCCATGAATCAGAATGCTCGCTCGCTGTTTGATGAAGGTGTGGCGGACAAAGATTTAATCCTCATTCCTCCGTGCAGATCTCGCTTTACATTATGGATATCGATTACCACGTGGCTTTGCTTCAGTTCGGCGATCTCTCCCCAGAGTATACTGATGTCTTTGCACAAAAATTTGCTTTCGCTTAATAGAGCTACCATTAATGGAGTTTTGGCAAAGGAAAATGTAATTGCAGGTGCAATTGTCCATATCGGCAATTTCCGGTGGTTTCTGCGTTGTTTTTTTGCGTTTTTTGTCTGGCATACCTGTATGTGTAACGGTCATAATAATCGCTTTCAGTTTTTGCGCTCTTGTTATTTATTAGAGTTTTTGATTGTTTGATGAGACTGCAACTCTAGTTTGTAAATGAACCAAGCATCAGTTATTTTAAACAACGTTGAATTATTAATGGTGGCATGTTTGCCGTTTTTTGTAATGAGCGGAAGAAAATCTTCAGTTTAACATTAAACCTAAAAATAATGTATGCGTATGTAGAGAGCAATGTTCGTACATACAAATTCGGCGGCTGAGATGAAACAAGGTGCAAAAATAATTTTCGAATGAAAAAAATAGCCGCTTTAACAGGATTATATCTTATGTTATTATCTGCTTATGTATAACACGTACACACAAGGATTTCGTAAGGATATTAGCATTTCAATAGTTCCTTGCGTATCGAGAGCGTGCAGCACTATGTGGAGAGGTTATGACAAGCGATCTCGTTGCGAATTCGCAAACGGGATCGCTTATCGCGTGGACATTGTGGACCCGACCTTGTACGAACGCTGCGGCCAAACAGCTGAGTATCTACAGCACGCCACGTTTATAATCATGAGTTATTGTGATTACCGCCATACAACGCGGTAATGCCGCCATTATCCTTGGTGTAAGTAAACGCATTTGCACTACTCGTACGTTACCTAGTAGTTATTATCTGTTTTCGATTTTTTAAAAGCTTAAGTCTTGTGCCTTTATGGCGTCTGACAATTGTACTCGTATCAGTACTGCTATATTTTGTTTGGACCAATGAAAATAATTTTCGTTTAGACAATTTAATTCTTTATTATATTTACTGAACTTCATGCATAACATGTGTGGAACAAGTGGTCTCTGAATCGTAAACTGTTTACCATAAACAAAAACGTTTACCATAAACCTCTGTTTACCATAAACAAAAATGTGACTAAGAACCGTGCTCAAATTCTAACTACAGAATTCTGTACATGGCGTACTCGCCGAGCTTTGCCGATTCGAAGTTCAAGGTGAATGTTTGGTGTTTGCCCCTTCAAACGTGTTCTCGTTTGTCACAACATTTTACCATTTTCAACCTTCCACGAGTGCAGAGGGTCCTAGCAACCGGAGCTCATACGAATCGCTTTAAATTTCCTGAATAAAAATTCTCCATTCTCTGGCGTTCCAAGACTTTACTTCTTTTTATAAGTACCAGCAAATGGACGATAAAATACCACAGCGATCGAAATATCTTGTGGCGGGAGATTGGCATGGCTTCGAAACTATTTTCACTTACTGGTATTTTGTTAGCAATTACGGGGAATGAAACCAAGCCGACCGATCACAAAAATTAATTCCTTTATTTTCCCAATACGGTGCGGTTGTCAAGAAATGGAACCGATCGTGCTTTCGAGTCGACGTACATGAATCGGAAATGGTTAGATTCAGTACCGTTATGATATGAATATAAGATTGTTTCAGTAATCATTTTGCACTTCGAGAAATACTCGTATATATCGTGCTCAGTAAGATTTCCGTCTATGTGTCTATGCGGCATATCTACAAAGACGGGAATCTTGTCGGTTGAGAATGTACTAGGCACCAGCAACACCTTGCTCTGAGGACACGAATGCATGCTATCTGAGTATCTGTACACGATCACATTATTCACATGATCACATCCATAGTTATCAGGTAAATCTAACCTAAAATGTTTGGAATATGGTTGCATGTTTTTGTCCAGAAGAACAATTACACCAGAACCGGACACTGGGTTTTCTGTTAGTGATTACTAAAATTATTCTCCCAGAGATATCATTAATTTAAGTTATATACGTCTGCGTAATCGCCAACAAGAATTTTTTTATTCTACAGACTCTTCGTCTTGTTATTAATTTACCACGTTATAAAAAATGTGTTGTAATGTATCATGAACCATGTATCGTCATGAAGAATGTTGTATTGTTTAAAGAATGTAGAAAATTGAATGAATGTAGTGCAATTTGCATATTTTCTTGTTTTCTTACATGTCCTCACACGTTTTGGTTCTATTCTTGATTTCCCGTCCTAGCTTAAAAAAGGCGATCCTCATAGCAAAGGCCGGATAACAAACAAGTTAAGTATTACTAATGTTTCGAGTACATCAGTGTAGTACTAATATTATATTATGTTTCGAGTACATCAGTACTTTTCAAATCGGTGGCTTTCGACCTTTCCTATATATTCGCTTTAAACATAGGCCAGACGCTACGTGCGTGCGCAAGAAATTCAGAAATTGAAACAGCTCAGGCTATATCAATAATGGGGCTAAAGTCGAAAAACCGCAAACAATTTAAGTTGAAAAAAGCCTTGATATGATTGAAACGGAAACATATTGATTGATCCAGTGCAGGCGGTTATTGTGCTTAGTGAGCTGTCAAGCGACTCGTTATTACAGGCTTTTACAGCAGCAGCGTCTATCTGGGCAACAAGGGCTGCCCTTGTGCATTAGGAGAGTAAAAAAAGTGAATTCATGAGTATAATCTGTATAATTCATGAGTATAATCGCTCAGCTTATCACATTGGTAGCTCATTCCACTGCATGACTAATATGCCCGTGCACATTAACGACAAGCTGTAACTTTTAAAGTCACTTCTGCGCTCGCATGCAGTACTTTATAGTGCGCTTGCGACAGATGTGGCTATGAGCGCTTCGAAAAGTATTGATAGAAGTATAGTAGAAATTTCCTGGATGATCAGTGCATCCCGTAACGCATCCTGCATATCCCAAGGGTCATGACAGGCTTGCCAGCTGCTAGCACCGTTACAGATTTGACCCCATGGGTGATACCATCCTTTATCAATGGCTGCGTCTGCCCAATCGATGACCATGTGTGGACTTATGGTGCGCTGGACACTGGTGTCGATGCTCCGCCCACGTTGTACCGCCGCGGACCGGCCAAGCAGCGCGTCAACGGACTGGCACTGAACCTGGACGCTGGCTTTACACACAGGCTCAAAAACCGGCCGGCCAAGGATCCCAAGAATTTTCCGCAGCGCTACCAATTGGCCCCGTTGCGACAATGGTGTCAGGAGCACCCGGACGTCTTTAGAGATCCTGCGTTAGTATATTTAACTACTTTTACGCGTGTTTCGGTTGATTCAGTTTCACTTTGGACTTTGGCACTGCAAGCTCGAATTGTGCCGTATGCTTTATGATGTTTGCAGTTGTAGACCAGAAGTCGTCTGCTGGGCTGGATTGCTGAAAACGATTATGCTCACGCCGGCACATTTGCACAACCCGGAAGGTAGGATTAGCTCATAATTATAACGGGCAACGGAACCGGCTAATATCGTACTGCTCGAAATATTGCTTACCCATCAACTGAAGATACCGCAGCAAATACGTCGCTACATATACTTACTACCCTAGCATTTCGGCATTTTATACTACCCTTAATTTGGCATATACTGACATTTTATTGCTCAAAATACTGTAGTTCTGTCGCCAGCTCTGCGCAAGAATAATAGTTTTCACAGCAACATACACAAATTGTTGATTATACATAAGGATGATATAAAACGCCTAAATATATATAATTTTATGTAAACTTAATGGTTAATATGTATACATACTATGCATACTGTTATGAGTTGTTCTTTGTTTTATCCTATTCAGAGTTAGGAAGTGGTTTTGATGGTACAATTCAGAATGCACGGAAACTTTAAAGGCACTTATATTTTTTTCGGTTTATGGCCAGATGATTATACATGCGTGAAAACTGCTTGTGCAACGTCCGGTCTAAGAGTTATGCTGGTTTCAAAGAATGATTTTGTAAAAAGATACCGATTTCACTTTGCACGTAAATGGACATGACTTGAAGATTGCTTTTACACCGATCCAGTATTCCATGATTTTTTTCCAATTTTAAAATGAATTTTAAAATTTTTGAAATTCATTTTAAAATTTGAAAAACATGCTAGAACAGTGGATCGGTGTGAAAACGTTCTTTGTGGTTATGTGCATTTACGTGCAAAATTTGAGGGAGATCGGTCCATAATGAGACTTTTGGTACACCTGAATGCATTTAAACTTTTTAGAATTTTGTAACAGCCATAACTCTTGAACCTGATGTTGCGCGCACATACGGTTTTCTCGCCAGCGTATACAAATCATCTGGCTACAGAATGCTGTGAATCGAAACAAAAATGTGTTTGGGAGTGCGCGAAAGTGAAAGTTTCCGTGCATGTACACAAATTTGGTACCATGTACCGGGCCACTTCCCTTAAATGCAAGCAGTATATGGCTTTATGCAGCCACAGGGTGGATCGTGTTGGCCTGGAAAATCGAAGGAACGCTGTACCTGGCGCACGTGAACCGTCCAGCAAAGCCCGTGGAACAGCCCGCGATGAAAAAATCTTCGGAAAAGGATAACGAAGACACGGAGCGCTACTCATTCTGGTAGGCGTGCAATAAAAGTATACTGGTTAAGCAGCGGAACCACATTTAGTATACTTCATATGCATACTGTTTTAATCTTTTTAACTGCACGAAATCAAGGTGATACTATATTTTATTTTTCGCTTATCAAATGTGAACAGCATTTATATCAAAATTCAATTAACCTTCCGCTGATGTGTACTAGGCGCTTTTGCCGCTTTGTATTTTCGCATGGTTACCCGCAGATGTGTCTAGAGAATGTTTAATTTTGAGTGCCGGTTGTTAGTAAACTCTGCAAGAAAACGGGTGTATCTGTACACAGTGACGTGAAAAGCGTTTGTGCGCGCCTTAACTTTCAAGCTTTCAAGTGCGCTATCAGGTGCACGTTAGTGAATCTATGCTTATAACTTGTAATTTAAAAGTAGATTTTATAATAAGTAACAGTACTCGTATTCATAACAGTAAAATTTCATTTAACGCTGCCCTCAATCCTTCCAATGTTCCGAGTACAGAAATGGCGTTGCCTCGCTGAATCTCCAGCGACAGCCGTTGGCGAAGGAATTCATGAGAGCGAGTTCCACCCGTAGAAAGTTGAGTCGCTTGTCGAATTTTTCACTAACAGGATAGCTGACTTTCCACTTTCCCCATAGATCGAGTGTGTCAAAGGCTAGCAGTGTGAGACGTGTCTGTTTGATTTGAAGACGTATCTGTCGTTTAGATAAGTTCCGTCAGTAATATTTAGTTATCACCCCTATTCTGCGTTTTAACAAAGCCACACCGTTGTCTTTTAATGTACAGTGCTTACAACTGGCGTCACCAAATTTGCCGATATGTAATGGCTATGCATATTAGCATCAGTTTTGCGTAGTGTTTTGGGTACAGGGGCCAGAAGTTCGAGCAGTGTCTCACTCATTCGAACGAGGAAGCGAACTTCAGCGATACATCAGCAGATAAGACCAGCTACATCGCGGTCCGATCGCGCCGAATTAACGGCATCAAAGTCCTGTTTGGAGCGGAGATAGATTGCCGGGATCCGGACGGTTCCGGACGCTACGTTGAACTCAAAACAACATCCGTCGACGCCATAAGTACCCACCAAGGCAGGAGTATGAACAATGCCAAAAACAATTACTAGTAAGTCAGCATATTACGGGCTTTACATTTTGACTGTGAGAAATTAGTGCACCTAGAAAATGTAATCAAATCCCCATTAATGTTTTTACACAATTTTAAAAAACCTTCCCTGACCGTAAGTACAGAGAATTATATCTCTGTTCTCTACTATGCCTTCGCTGTGACCCACAGCCTGTGAGTACGAACTCGCTGCCCATAGTTAAAAGCCGATCCGGAGCCACCGTTACGACTTGTATCATTTTTGCTGTTACTGTATATCTTTAAGAAACTCATTGTAGACAAATAGTCGCACCATCTAATCTGCATTGCAGTCGCTTCAAGATGCTGAGTTGGTGGGCTCAGTGTTACATTGCTGCAGTCCCAAAAGTGCTTGTCGGCTACCGGACTGCTGACGGTTGTTGCGTTTCGACCGATGAATTCTACACTGATGATCTTCCCGCCAAGAGCAAGGTACTGACAAGTGACAGCACAACCCGAACCATTGGCGCTTTAGCTAAACAAAAGGATTTCAGCTTGGCGGCTGAAGAGCACTGTACATGTACTGCAGTAGTACAGTGACGTACTGTTATACCATAATCTGTGACGATTATTGCGAATTTCAATGTAAAGGTAGTAGTGAGTAATTTCAGTGTAAAAGTGTGTGTTCAGGTAGTAGTTCGTATTTCGAAGTACTTGGTGCCAACTTTTGTATGTACAGTACTTATTCCTACTTGCCTGTTAAAGGCCTGTTTTTTAAACTTTTTGAAATTTTATTTGACCGATAACTACGCTATTACCTGATGCTTCGAGCACAACGTGCACCCGCCACTGCATTTAAATTATGTGCCTAAACACTGTCAAAAAAAGAACGCAAATGAGTGTCTGGGAGGGCGCGAAAGCGAATGTTTCCGTGCACGTATACGAATTCGGTACGAAGTACAGTGCTGTACCCGGGTCGTACTTTCCCTGCACCATTAAGTAGCACCGTAGCAGTATCGTTTCCTGGTTTCAGGCGGCAGGAGCTGAGTGGAACTGCCAAGATGCTATTAATTTTCTGGGTGCCTTTCTGGATAAGGTGAAAAAGACAGTGAAAGAGGACTATACAAAGTGAGTGGGCCGGTCTTTGGCTTGTTGACGTGAAAAATTTTTGAGCGCGCAACGTGCTGCTTTTTCCGGGCGGCTGTAGTGGATACTTCTTTTGCAGGAATATGTACACATTTGAATGGAGCCCCGGAACGTTATTAGTCAAAATCAACAGTATCACAAAGAACCAACCAAAGAAGAGCAGTTACTGTGAAACAGCAGCGTAAACTCCGGCTATTGTCCTAATTATTTACTTTCCTATATTGACGGATTATCTAATGCAGAATCAGATATGTACTTTGAAATTTTTGTGATAATTACAGATATGTGGCTGGTTTCATCATTGTTTGCTGCTTCCAGTAGTGCAGTTGCTTTTAGTTTTCTATCGAATTTCTTGTTTACGTTTATCACGTTTTGTCATAACTGTTAAACATTTTATTTGCATTTAATGGGCTACAGCTGGGCAAAGCAAAATGCAGTACAAATAACTGTATCGACCTAATCTCCTGATGATATCTGCAATGTGCACAATCGTCGATCAGATGCTCACTCAAAACACTGCTTTAAAAATGGGACGCTAAAACTGGAATGGAGGAAAAAGAGGTTCGATGCGAAGATGCAAACAGAAGGGATTGTTAGAATGGGGAGTATGGTGGAATACGGCACGAGCGCAAATGGGATCCCTCTGGACCGTACATTCTGCTTAGTAATTTTACACATGTATTTGTTGGTAACCGGTTAAAGTGACGTTTCAAGCTGCACCTCCGTGTGAAAGTGGATCGTGACAGGGAGCGGTTTTCAGAATTCCATACAATGTACTATTCCGCTTACGTAGATATTGCAGCCCTGCATAATTTCCATATCCGGTGAAGAGTTGTTTGTTACTGTTTAAAGAAATTTGCTTTCGCAACTGTAAATCCGCTGAACCGGCAAATTGTTTCCTTAAGCACTTATAACCGATGTGTAACGTGCCTCGATGTATCACGTACTACAGTCGCACACACATTTTATATTATTCCTTATGAATAAATGTTTTCAGCGTACGGCTGCATCGCCAAAATCATATTATCGCTCCAATGAAAAGTACTTAACTGTTGTTTGTCCTGAGAAGTGCATCAATTCCTTTTGCTGTCCCCGGTTTTGAAAGAGGGATAGTATTGCAGCTGTGCTTTGCTTGTAATTGTAACTGTTCGTATTTGCAATAATGCAAGCTCTACTGTTACAGATGTCTGGTATTCTCTCATTGTTCCTGCTTTCTTCCTACCTGGTGGAAGAAGCCCTGTGCGCCAACATTCAATGGAACGGTAACTGGGCCATGGGCTGCGACTTCTCCGGGAACGATCTATCCCGCGTCCAGGTACCCAGCGAGCAATGCTGTGGACAGTGTGCCAACAATCCCCAGTGCACCCATTTCTCCTGGACCCGCTCGAAGGGGTGTTCCCTGAAACGCGGTGCCATCAGCAAATCCAACGCCATAACAGTCGGGGATACTTCTGCAGTCTGCGGAGTGATTCGCGAAACGGCCGGCAGCAGCAACGGCGGTGGTGGCGGTGGTGGCAGTACGCAGACGGGGAAGACGACCCGCTACTGGGACTGCTGCAAACCCAGCTGCTCATGGAAGGATAAAGCCGTCGTGAGCAACCCCGTGAAAACCTGCCGCAAGGACGGTATCGCTGCGTTAACTGATGTCAACGCCAAGAGTGGTTGTGACGGCGGTGACGCGTACGTCTGTAACGACAACATCCCGTGGGCGGTCAACGATAAGCTTGCCTACGGATTCGCGGCCGCCCATATCAAGGGTTCGGATGAGCGCGGATGGTGTTGTGCTACAAGCTGGATTTCACCAGCGGCCCGGTATCCGGGAAGTCCATGATCGTGCAGGTGGTCAACAGCGGCGGCGATCTGGGGGAGAATTACTTTGATCTGCAGATCCCGGGCGGCGGTTTCGGGATCTTTGATGGGTGTACGCGGCAGTGGGGCTAGCGGCGAGTGCGTGGGGAGAGCGGTACGGTGGGGTGCGGACGCGGGACCAGTGCAATGCGCTGCCGCAGCCGATCCGGGCCGGATGTTATTGGCGGTTTGATTGGTTTAAAGGAGCAGATAATCCCAGCATGAACTTTGCACCGGTACAATGTCCGGCGGAATTGCAGCGCAAGAGCAACTGTGCTCGCAAATAGTAGAACCGTGAAAAATTTGCAACAAAGAATTTCTATCGCATTGACGTACCGTACTATCGAGTTTTGTTATGACTGTTAAGCATTTTATTCGCATTAAATGGCTATACGAACGCAGAAATTACAACGATGGGCAGAACAAATACAATATTAATATTATTATGTATCAACCGAATCTCGTGACGGGGATGTGGCTGCTGCTATCAAACTGAATATTTGACATCATTGTGCTATCATATGGCTCAGTCCTTATGCTTTCAAGTTAGAATTTTACCGTGAATCAGATCGAAGCTCATTTTCCGCAAGAGCTGCAATACCAAGCTAGAATGTTGCACGTGATACTTATCATTCTCACAAATATCATTAGGGCACTCGGCTTTATTTAAACATTTACACTATGTATGTATGTGTAGCACATGCATACACAGCCCGTCTAATAAGTTAACGACATATATCAAACAATAAAGGAGCACACCTGGTATTTGAAGCAAAATGTACGCACTAGCAGGCTCGAATAAGAAAATTGACAGCATGATATGGTGGCATGTTGTTATAGGCATACTGCCGCCCGTGTTGGCTGTTTTACTGGACCATTTGTACTTCAAATCATTGACCCGCGTTGTCCAAATATCGTATACCGTTTGGCCGCTGTGTTTTGTCAGGAAGCTGGTATCAGCTGAATGAGAATGGGCCGGCATCTCGTTGATGGTTAACTTGTGGGTGGCGGCTCCCCCTGTGGCTCCGAGACTGTACACAAAGCTACTGCCCAAGAGAAAACGTCCCCGGTAATCCGGAGTATACGAGGTGGGAAGTATCCTGGACAGGTTCTCGTGCGTGTAACTAAAATAACTCCCATCGCACTTTAGCCAGCATGGTGGAATCTCTCGGTTGACCGGGTAGGCTATAACCGACCCGATGGGCATCATTCCGGCCTGGATATCCGTTGCGGTCGTTTCCATCTCTCCCATTCGGCTTTGGAGCTGTCGGACTTTTCGCTCTAGGCGGTGCATTTCCTCTCTTTGGCGAGCCAACGCACCGGTGCTCGAAGCGGACGGCAGGATATTGATGCGGCTGCTGAGTTCTGATGTGGTCTTCGTCACTTGCACTTGCGTGGACGTTATAACGGAAGATGTTCGCAGTCCTGCAACGCATCCAGAACTGGATACATAGAGTATAGTCTGCGCTTAAGCTAGCACTTGCGCTCGGATTTGCAGTACTAAAACTTGGACTTGGACTACATAACTAAGACTGAACTGAAGATTCTAAAACTTGGACTATCTAACGAGTAATAAAACTTGAGCTAGGTGAGTGTTGGGTCTACTTGACTTGGACTTACTAACTTTTGCGGCATATTGTATTAGCTTCAAAATTCTTCAGTTTCGAGCTAGTCCACTTTAACCTCTTACACTGGAATTGACCTCTCGATCTTAGTTTCGATCTCTCGATCTCGATTTCTTATGTTTTCTTACGTCTCTCAAATTATTTCTTAGGTTGTTCCTTAAGAAAACCAGCAACTCAAGGACACTTATGAAACATCATGAACTGAAAACCTAAAACAAATCTCAAGATATCTTAGAAAATGTAAGAACGAAAACCTAAAGTAACTAAGAAACTATTGTGTTCAAGTCCAAGTCAAGAAGTCCAAGTCTGATAAGTGGTCCGAAGTGGTCTAGGCCCAGTTTCTAATTTGAGCGCGGGCCAAATATTACGGATCACCTGACGCTTAAATTTCGAGTAAAATCTCTTGAACAAGGCGGCGGTCGCTTCCGTCTTACCAGATAAGTTGATTCGTCGGAGCTGCATGGCCTTGGGAATGAACTTCTCCCCATCCCATTGAATGACGTGTTTGGCTTCGGTCATCAGTTCGACGAGTTTGGCCTTTTCTTCGTTGCTGACGGACTGCGACGCCGTGTTGACGCCACCGGAGCCAGAGGAGTCGCTCCCAAATATTCCCAGAACGTCCACTTTCGACATGAATGAACCCGAGACATTGGTGCTGTCCTGGTTAGCTATGTACTTTTTGATATCGTCCTTTAAAGTGCTATCACTCTTATTGTACGCATCGTTTAAGGACTGGGTGATGCGGTCCGGTCGGCCGTTCTCGTCGTGCCAGAACACCGAGCTCCACATCTGCTCCTCGAAGGATTCGGTCGATATGCTCTTGGCCTTGAGAATGTTCTCCAGTAAGGTGCCGATGGTGATAGACTGGTCTTGGCTGACAAATTCATCGTCGGTCACTTCGCTGGCCACCACATTGCTGGCGATTTCCAGGGTCAGCTGCTTGAGGTCTCTTCATGAAAACGGTGTCCTTGTTGGGGAAGCGTTGGTTCAGGGCTGTCGCAAGAGCTCCGTTCTGCACGTGCTCCGCTTTGACCTACAAGCAGCCAGTTACCTCTCCATTTAACTTTTTATTATAATTATAAACAACTACAGTAAAGCGGATGTTGTCTAAGCGGTTCAGCATGTTGTGTCTAACCATGGCCCGTTTCCATAACTGGTTTGCCCTCATTCAGGGCCGTCGCGAGTTCCGAGGGTAGGGGGGAACGCGCGGTCGCGCGCCCGGCGCGCCAGTTCGAAAATGGCTCAAAAATTGAAAAAAATCGTAGAAAAGTGGCTCAAAAAAGCCACTTTTCTACGCTTTTCTATTGTAATTTTCGAGCGCCAGTCCCATTTTTTCGCGCCAGCGCCAGTTGCGCCCAGCACGTCCCCCCTCGCGACGGCCCTGCCCTCATTTAACTTAACGGAAGTGGTCAAGCTTTTCTAAACTTGACTTTATTTGGCTTCGGTTCTGCTTTGTTCGTTCGTTCTACTAATTTAGGTCCACAAGAATCTGTTGGTTCTCGATTCTGAAAACTGTTACCATAGATGATTTCGTGACCTTTTGTAACTTGTACAGTCAACTGCATTCTTTGAGTGTTGAATAAGAAATTCGATTTGATAAGTCGCTTTATTATGGTTTGTACATTAAATGCACTGCGCGTTTGATTTTTCAAATGCTTTGGAAAAGCTTTTGATGCATCTAGGGAGCTTGTTATTTCGAACCCTGGATAATTTTAGTCAAACCAATAACACAAAAGGGCTGATCTTGGGAAAAAGATTAACCGTCGCTGTCGCATTATTAAGTTCTCCTG